GGGCACCCAGGGCCAAGAGCAACCTCGCAGCGCCATCTGCTGCCCGTGCCCGGGAAGGCAGACCGTTGCGGGCCAAGGATCACCCCCTCCCAGGCTCTGCACGTCTCATCGTTCAGGGGCTCTGCAGGCTGAGAGGAAGCGGCCTTCCGGGCTTCAGGTCCTTTGCCCTCTCCAGCCCGAGGCCCCCCACTTGGCCTGTCTGCAGCCTCTACTGCAGAGCAACCTCGCAGCGCCATCTGCTGCCCGTGCCCGGGAAGGCAGACCGTTGCGGGCCAAGGATCACCCCCTCCCAGGCTCTGCACGTCTCATCGTTCAGGGGCTCTGCAGGCTGAGAGGAAGCGGCCTTCCGGGCTTCAGGTCCTTTGCCCTCTCCAGCCCGAGGCCCCCCACTTGGCCTGTCTGCAGCCTCTACTGCCCACAATCTCCACCTGCTCTGAGCCGCCACGCCCATGGCTTCTGGGACCCTCAAATGCAGTCAGCGGCCCCAGCTGCTCTCTAGCCAGATTTCATCCTTGACCTTTGGACCCAGAACTGCCAAGCAGCTGGGTGCTGCCTACAGTCTGGCTGGCATCTCATCTCAACTCCTCCAACTCTTCCCTGCCCATCCAGGTATTAGTGGAGGGAGGGAGGGAGGGAGGCACACACTCTCCCCAGGACCATGGGAAGCCCCGCGGACGTGCTCAGCAGCCGGCCTCGGGAACAGGCTTCCGGCACAGGTCTGCAGAGCCAGCCTCACCACCGTCCATGGTCTGGGTCTCTGCACCAGGTTGATTAGGAAATGCCAATAGGGCTCATCTCGTCCAGGGCTCTCACCTGGCTGCCTGTCAGGATCCCCCGAGAGCAGACCTAGAGTCAGACACTACGGAGGAACAGAGCCCAGGAATCTGTATTTCCAAAGTTCTAGGGAGTTGGAGTTGGCTGCACCTATGGGTAGGGAGCTCTAGTGACCCTGCCCACTGGACAGAGGGGATGAGAGGGAGCCTGAACTGGCCTTGGGGGCCAGAAGGAGAGCTGAATCTCTTGGCTCCTCCCAGGCCCACTTGTCCATTGCCACCTGCCAGGGGCCATGGCCTAGGGACCCTCGGCCTGCCTGGCCCCAGCCAGCCTGCATGGAACAGGGTCGGGGAGAGGAGCCCTGGAAATGCAGTGGCCCCTGACCTCTGACCTGAGGCACCTCCACTCTCTGTTGAAGTTCAGTCATGGCATTCCACTGGCAGGCAACCCAGTACAGGAGAGCTGGGAGGCCCTGTGAAAGCCCTGGAAGGGGTGGGTGAAAGGGAGTGAGGCCTATGCAGTCCCTCTTGCCTTACTCACCCTTTCCCTCCCCCGCAGATGTTTCTGGTCACCCACCCCACCCAACTGAAGAAAGGCTGATGGTGGCCCTATGACTCCCTGCTGAGGCCTGTCTCTGAGCAAAAGGCCCAGCCATCCCAGCAACCGCCAGGCTGCAGCCCAACCTGGGGGTGCAAACTCCGGGCCCTGCTGCTCTAACCTCCCAAACCACCAATACCCCCAGACCACCCTGTGCCCCTCCCAGGGCACAAGACTCCCACCAGGATAGCCTCCTCTATACCCACCATTCTGATCCGGCTCCTGCTGGCTCCTGGGGCGGGGGGGTCTGCTTCAGTCCCCCCACCCCCAGGCCTTCAGGGAGCAGAGCTAGCCTGTGAGTCCACCACCTGGGAAAGGAGCAGGAGCAGACCCAGTGGCCTCCTCCTGACCAGGAGTCCAGCCTGGCTCCACCAACTCCTCACTGCACCTTGGGCAAGTGCCACCCTCCCAGGGCCTCAGTTTCTCACCTGTAAAATGGGGATAGGGAACAAGGAGACAATATCACTGACTGACCTTCCAGCTCCCACCATTGTGAACTATCTCACTTACCATGTATTGGAAGCCCTTGGTGCTGGGGATCTGCATAAGACAGACTCCTCACCCCCTTACACCCTGGGGCACCAGTGTGTGGAGATGAGTGGCAGGGGGCATGCGGCACACCGCCACAGTGACATCAGAGGAAGGGGACAGCAGGAAGACTGCCCCTTGGGAGGGACATTTGAGAGAGGCCTTTGTGGGATGAGCAGGAGTTCTCTACACTTAAAACAACGGGAGGGGGAGAGGGGCACGGGACCCTCAGAAGGCAGGGCCGGGAGTAAGCTCATAGTGCCCAGAGGCATGTGCAGGCTGCACTCTGGCACCTTCTGCAGGCTGGTGCCTACCGCCCTCCAGGGCTTTCCCTTTCTGGAGTGGGGGCGGGGGTGGAGGACAAGGCGGACGAAGATGAGGCAAGAGAGGCGACTAGGCCACCTCCACCACCCTGAGAGCGAGCGCTCTGCGCCTCCTAGCACTCTCTGCCCTGCCTGAGACTCACCTTCAGCTCCACTCATTCAGCCCTGAGCTGGGCCCAGGGGTGTCCTTGGGAATGTTACCTAAACACCTACATGTCTCCTTTTGAAAATGGAAGGCCTGGCAAGGTTGGGCCTGTGGTCTCAGGCCTCTGGAGGTCATCGTTTCCTTGGCTGCCCTGTGCTGCGGGGCCAGTGGGCCAGGAGAAACCTCCTTCCCAAAGTCGTTTCCTGCCGTTCTGGGCTGGAGGGCAGAACCAGTCACAAAATGGAAACAACCTCCTGGGGGCAGAACCCTACCTGCACACATGGGCTCATAAAGGGGGAGGTGGTTCCTTCTCTTCCTCAGAGGCTGGAGGGTCCGGGAAGAGGGAGTTTGGCTCCCACAGTCAATGCCAGAGAGGACCCAGGTGAGTGATGCTCTTGAAAGTCCCCCATGAGGTTCCAGCGAGTGGAAGACCGAAATTTGGGAATTGGTGGGGAAAGGACCAAGTTAGACCTTAGGATTAATTCCTAAAAAGGAAGCTTGGACTGTCACCTCAGGAATGAGTCACACTTAGGTCATGACACAGCAAATCTGTAACTGCGAGTCCTTGGGGACTTACAGAGTCCCATCTAAGTCTCAGGTGGAGCACTGCAGGTGTGCTTGGGGTCACGTGACTGAAGCACCACCGCTGTGATGGGTTGCATTGTGTGGCCCCCCAAATCTATGGAAGTCCTCACCCCAGCACCTGTGATTGTGACCGTGTCTGGAAATGGGTCTCTGCAGGTGTCATCAGGATGCGGGCGTGGCGTGAGCCTGGACCCACTGACTGGCGTCGCTAGAAAAAGCGGGAAGTTTGAATACAGAGACTGAATTCCCTCAGGGGGCATCATGGGAAGGGAGGCAGAGATTGGAGTGATGCTGCTCCATGCCCAGGCCGGCCTGCAGAAGCTGGGAAGACATGGCAGGGTCTTCCCCCAGGACCCACTGACACCCTGACCCTGATACCCGGCCCCCAGAGTTGCGGGAGAATACGTTCCAGTTGAGGTAGGCCACCCCATTTGTGGCCAGTTTCTACAGCACCCCTAGGAGATGGAGACCATCTCCCACCAGCACCTCGATTCAGTTTTTCTAAAGGTTAAATCCCCACATACATACTAGTAAGTCCCAAACTGACAGCTGGGGACAGGGGTGTTGGCTCAGCCTAGGATCTTGAGCAGAAGAACGAGCCTCAGACAGTGAAGAAAACACAAGAGTCATTAGCCTCAAAGGTCCCAGCAGCCCTCAGCTAAGTAAACAAGGTGGGTTTCTGGGAGCAGAGGTACCCCTGTCACTGGTTCTCAGGATACCTTGCCCGGCATAGCTCTCAGACACCTGCAGGTCCCATGGAGGGGGCTTGAGAAGGAGGAGGAACACCTGGATGCCAGGGCAACAGGCAGGGTAGCTCTGCGTGGTGGTGACGAACCCAGAAGCAGAAGCACTGGCTGAAACTCCCCTCACATACAGCCTGGGCCAGGTGGCTTAGCCACACCTGGAGACAGGGATGCCGAGGCCCCCACTGAAGGGTGCAGAGGGGAGGCCATGGGTCATGGGCATGAAAGGTTAGTGTCCCAGAAGTGATGCCAGGTGATGTGACTAGTGTCCCTATTGAAACTTTAGTCCTGAGCCCTAGTTGCAGCTTCCTACCTGCTGGTTGAGGGACCTGGGACAAGTCCCTGCACGGTAGGAGCCTGGGTCTCCTGCCTGAGTATCACTGTCCCCAAAAGTGAGCAGGTGATGTTGTGTAGGAGCCTGCCCAGGGCGCCAGCCCAGTGCAGCTGCAGGAGCTAAAGGCCTCCAAGGGCAGATGCCCTGGGAGCGGGCAGGCAGGGGCATGTGTGGTTCCCCCGCCGGGAGACTGGCTTTTGGCAGGGCCTTCCCCAGAGCAGACCCCAGGCCTCTCTGAGACTAAGCAAAGGGGCTTCCTTTACTGGGCTGACCCTCTGTGCTGCAGGCACTGCTGTTGCTCATCCTCCACCTCGCTTGGGACCGTCCTAGGCACAGGAACCAGCTCAGGAGGAGAGGGAGCCATTATCTCCGGCCTCCGGAGCGTAGGAGAGTGTGTCACGAGGCCTGCCCCGTGCCAAGACCTCTTGGCGGGACAGCTGCACGAGGAGGGGATGCTCTGCACTGACCCTCTGGCCAGGCCCCATTGGCTGTGGGAGGAAGGGAAGGCAGTGAGAGGAGGGCCCTCTGCCCCATACAATGATCAGGAGCCTTGCGGGGGGCGGCGGGGGGGGCGGGTGCAGTCAGTGGGGTTGTGGGACAGACAGGATCAGGCCAGAGGCCAGGAAAGAAAAGGGAGGATCCTGCAGGCTCAGCCTGCATCCTGGGTAACTGATCAGAGTCAGCTTTGCCCCCTAAGTTTCAGCCATGTGGCCACCCTTTTCCTGGAAGTCTCATGGTCCACCCCCCAATGGAGGACAGCTGCCTTGGGGAGATTCCTACAGGTCCTGCCTTCACTGGGTCCTCAATCCAAAGCAAAGCATCATTGAGAAAACCAAGCCCCCCACTTCCCTGGCTTGGTAGCTCCAGGTGCCCCTGGGAACCTGGGCAGAGGCAGGTACCCACAGGAAAAGGCAAGGCTGAAGCTGCAGCCTGGATTAGCTTCCTAGCGCTGTGGTAACAAGGTCCCACAAATGAGTGGCTTCAAAACGTAGAGATGCCTTGTCTCAGCTCTGGAGGTCAGAACCCCCAGGGTGTGGTGTCAGCAGGCTGGTGGCCTCTGACCTGGAGAGAAGTTGGCTCAGGCCTCCTCCCCTCGGCTGCAGACACATCCCCTCCCTGTGGTTCTTCACACCCTCCACCCTCTGTGCTCACCACTCTCTGGGCCCCAAGTTCCCCCGGTCCTAAGGACGCCAGTCAGTCATATTGGATTAGAGGCCAGTATGAACTCATTGTAACTGATTTAACCTGCAATGGCCCTATTTTCAAATAAGGTCACATTCTGAGGCACTAGGGGTTAGGACTTCAATATGTCTTTTTGTTGTGGGAGGGGCACATTTCGGCCCCTGACACCCAGCCTTCTTTGTCCCTACCACTGGGGTGACTGTTCCATCGAGGAAAGAGGGGAGCAGGAGAGGAGGAAATGGATGTGGACGGAGGGCAGGGAACTGACAGTCTGGCCAGTGCTCCCTGGATGCTCAGCTCTGACCCAATTAGCAAGGGCCCTCCGTGCCCACACTGAGAAGCTGTCACTGAGGCTGCAGACCAGGCAGTTCTACCGCTTGGCACTTATGAGCTCAGATGTGTGGAGACCGTGGCAAGCGTCAGCAGGTGAGTGAGGCAGGAGGGCCCTGGGCTTTTTAGGAGCAAAGCCGGATCTTCTTAGGGAATGACTCGTGATCCTTTGAGATGCAAGTTTTGACTTGCCACTGGGCTCCACCTCAGACAGCACACGGACCCTGGGATTACACGTGCCCGTGTGATCTGAATTGCTCATTGCAGACTGGGTGACGTGATGCCATAAAGTGGGGTGTGCCCAGCAGCACCCTCATCAAGGGCACTCGGATTTGCCTTGAGGACAGGTAAGCTGCTTGAACAGGTGGGTCACACTCCAGATATGCCCAGTCATACCTCCCAATTCCCCATCCCCGACCTACACTTGTGACCTCATGAAGTTCCTTATGACACATCTGGCAACATTATTCTCATTATACTAATAAAAAAAACCTGAGTCACAGGGTGTTAAACAAGTTGTCCAAGCCACCAGCCAGTAAGTGGAAGAGCTGAGATCTGAACCCCAGACTATGGAGGGGACATAGGATTGCTGGTGCACAGTGGGGACAGGAAGGAAGATGGATGGGCCCTGGGGGTTGCCTGAAGCAATCCTAGGACCGCATGCTATTGTCACAGCTAATAGAAGAGCAGCGCCACAGGCTGGTGGGGTCACCAAGACCCTATTTCTCAGGAAGGGTGGTTTGGGTCACTGCACCAGGAGGAGATGTAGCCTGCCGCGGGCTGGCTAGAGGCAGAGTGAACATGGACTGGAGAGAAGGAAGCCCAGTGGTAGC